CACACACACACACACACACACACACACAGCACAGCACAATAATACTGCAGGAACAAAGGATTTTAAGAGTCTGAGTCACACCTGACAGTGTTATGTTTCTCACTTGGGTTATGCAACTTCTGAGCCATCTTCGTCTACAGGCGGCAAAATGCTGACCCCGACCCGCAGGAAGTCAACGCGTAAACACCCGAGGAGCTTTAAAGATAAGTTGGGGGGGAAAGAATAATAAAATAAACGTTTTAAAAAAATCAGGTCAAAGGTCGTAATGTGCTCTGGTTGTCAGGGCGACACCCAACCTTTAGATTCTTAAATGTTTTGTAGCTCCCACAACATTCTCAGCCAGGTCCTTCACGTTCCACACACATAGATTACCGGAGCGTGTGGGTGTCTAGTGTTTTGCCATTCACAAACATTTTAGCCTTCATCTGTAAACGCTGCACTCCATCAGAGTTTTCCACAAAATCTTCGGCTACAGCTGTGCCTCAGTCTGATTAGCTGACTGCGTTAGGTGCGTGAGGAGGTTTTTTTTTGTTTTGTTTTGGGGTTTTTTGTCTAGCTAGGACCAGATGGCAGGGAATGTTTAGTCAAATGGGATTAGAGATTAGGATTAAGTGGACTTTAAATTACTCAGACGCACAGTCACTGGATGACACACTACTACGCCGAAGCAGCGAGTTGAAGCGGAGAACAACACGTCAATTTTTTAAAACTCCTTCGGTGTAAAAGTGGTGAAAACTTAGCAAGACGAAAAGCGAAATGTTCCATAAAACGTAACATTACGAAATATACAGCTACATGTAGCGGGCGGGGAAAAAAATACAGATTTACATTCAAAGAGAAAAAGTTAAAGACTGTACAGACACTTTGACCATAAGAATCCTGCCCGACTATTCACTTCTTCATGTCGAACAAGGACGAATCAGAAATCCTATTAGTCGATACACAAGGAGAAACGAGGACCGATCACCTTGAGGGAAAACAGTCACTGGGTTAAAGGGTTAAATAAGGTCACAAGTGGCTGTTTTCCATTCACATCCGAGGAAAAAAAAATCTCTGTTTTTGTTTTTCATTTTCTCTTTTCAGACACAAAGGTAAGGTAGTTTGGATTTGAAAAGATGAAAAACAATGGATTTCTTTTAAACAGACCAGTTTAGTGTAGATCCAGTCAGACGTTTGGACACTCAGTTTGGAAAACAAAGTCGTCAGTTTTGAACATTTTTGATGATTCATATGAAAGAACTGTACAAAACAGATTTTTTTTTTATTTTACATTATGTTTAGAGTTCCTAATTGCACTTTCTAAACCATTTGAAAGGTTTATTGAAGTTTATTTTGACATCTTTGATCAAAGTAGTCAACCTATTGTTTTTGTCCGTTTTAGTTTTTTTTTTATTATTTATTCTACAATGGCTGATATACTTCTAATTGCACTGAGTGAATAAATTAAAGTTGTTTTCACACGTTTGACCTCGCTTGTGATGTTGTTGGTGTATCCAGGTGTGGTGTTCTGGTGCAAAGTTATCAAATAAATTCATAATTCAGTACATTTTTGTTTGTGTTTCAAAAAAAGAAACATTTTAAATCAATTGTTTTTCTATATCGGCTCAGTATCAGTCGATGCTAACCCTCAGATATCGGTATTGAAAGCGAAAAAAGTGGATCAGTGCTTCCCTCCACCCTACATGCCAATTAGTGCAGTGCTGTTGGGTTATTGTGTTCCCCAAATGAACTTCTGTCCTTGTGGCCTGTTCCAACCACACCCAAGCAGTTGACACACTGTTTTTCATCTTTCAATGTAAGCTAGTATATTGAAAAATGTGTGTTACATAGGTCTAACCCGGAGGACATGAAAAAAATTCTGTAGGACGCTTTCCTTTAAAGATCGTCTGGTGGTTTTGATAGAACTGGCTCTGAATATTTAGCGCTTATTGGGATCAAAGGTGTGGAATTGCTAGCGTTCCACAGCATCAGGACAAACACCTCAGTTTTACCACAAACTTTTGTTTTGCTTAGTTATTTATTTATAACAAAAAGCAAAAAAGGGTCCAACACATCAGCTTACAAGTAGGTCTGTCACAGAAAGCAATAAATCAGTTAATCGCATGATAAATTAAAACAAACTCGATGACTTCTGTTTGCATGATTTATTGTTTCTCTTTACTCTCTAGATGAGAAAAATCTTCAGTCTGATGCTTCGGTCTTAAATAGACCCTTTTTAGGACAGGGTCTTCATTGTTGTTTTGTTTACTTACTTTGGATATTTAAATGGTCTTCCAGTTCAAGTGCTAAATGCTCATTAGAATTTAAAGTTTATTGATCTTAAAGAATGTGTTTTTGCATCGTTTTTCGTTTACCATTACATTACTTGAAAATGGTCTCAAAGCAACGATATTATCGTTTATCGCAATAACTTCAGTTTATCGTCCAGCACAATTTGTCATCTTGGCAGGTCTAGTCATAGGGTAAAAACATCCGATTCAAACACAGCTACACTGCGTCTTTTTAAACTTTAAATATCTGGTTTCGACAGCACAAAGGTCAGAGGACACGTTACACAAGCCGGGCCGTGGCTCCCCTGCTCCCCTGGCGCAGGAACACAGGAACGGCCCCACAACATTTACATTTACGGCCTCGGTTCAGCTGGACGAGCCGAGGATGGAAAAACCGAGCGGAAACAGGGCGAGTGGTTGTGCTGTGAGTGCAGGTAAATACACACACACACATGCACACACACACAGGTGAGACCTGTGTGGAAACACTGAAGAAGTCTGCAGAGAATGTCTTAGGATTTGCTAGGAGTTGAGCCCCCCTGTGTGTGTGTAGACAATCCACCGCGTCACAGCGAGCACAGCCACTAATTAGCCTCGTGACCACGGAGGTCGTGGTACGTCTGCACTTCTGTGAACCTGTGTGCAAAGTTCAACGGCTCCTTGCGTCTCTGAATCAGTGGAGCACCTCCAGCAGCGCCTGGAGGAACGCCAGATAAGAGCACAGAGTAAAAAAATAAAAAATAAATAACATGAACTGTTCTCTTCATTCAAACTGAAATATTTCATTGTTTCTCCATTGGTAATAACAGGGTGGAAACACTAAAGAAGCGAAGGAGTTTTACCTCGCAAAACGCACAGGGAGGAAAAACAGATGATCCAAACATAGAGCGGGTTATGAAAACCAGACACCAGTTGCATTCTGACCTCTGCTCCCATACTGTATAGTGAGCTCCCAGTAAGCTTGACCCAGTTTGGAAGGAGAGAATGTGGGACACACTTCCACCTATTATGCGGCTGAAACGTATTTTTAGCCGTGGAGATGAGGTCAAACCGCAGGAGCATGTGAACCGAACCAAACCAAACAAAACAAGTGTTTTAATATTGACAGTTTGAAAAAGTGGCAGAGCGGCAGATGGAGAGGGAACGACCAAAAAAGGCGTTTTGGAGCGACGCCAAGATGTTGTGTTAGCGCCTCGCCGACAGGCAGACACACCTTCAACTTGCTGCTGGATAAACAGACAGGAAAATAAAATAAAAAAAGCCTGAAGCCAGCCAGTCATTAAAACACACACACAAAAAAAAGAAAGAAGAAAAAAGGTCCAACAGAATAAGCCGGCAACAGGCAAACAAAGGACAATACCTTTTAGTGTTTGAGCTCTTTACCGGGAGATCAAATGACAGAAAGGCAACACCGCTGGTGGAGTCGAGTGGAAAATTTGGAAATTCTCAGAGCCTTAGAAAAGTTTCCATAACGATTTTTCAGCCACATTTTATTCTGATTCTGGTTGAATCTGACAGAGCAACACAAAGGAGAGCAAAACTGTGAAGTGGAAGAAAGGTGGCTTTATACATTAAAAATACATAAATAATGCCCACAGCATGATGCTGCCACCACCGACTTTGACAGAGGGTGTGGTGTTTTTAGCAGTGTTTGTTTTCTGTCACATATGCAGGTCAAAAAGGTCAATTTTGATCTTGTCCAGCACCTTCTTCTTGCCATGTGTCCTGCATGGCCTTTGTCCTCCAACAATAGCTTTGTTATTCCCACTTTTTTTTTTTTAATCAAGACAGATATTATTTGCCATGTACAACTGACATGATTCCTGCCAATATATTTATCTTACAACTCCTAGAGTTACCAAGAACTTTTTTTCTGATTGCTGCTCCTTGCATCTTGGTAGGAAGTGGTTAGCCAGCTAAAACGTTAGCTGCGCTAACCCTAAGCCACAAATCCTAAACATTATCTCCGCTAAGGCTAAAGTGTTACACCGACGCAGTATAAGCTAATGCTAAACCTCTGGAGCGGATTAGCATAAACAGTCTTCACCCACTTCAAATCAGAGCACGAAGATAATGGGCTAGCTACTTAAAGAACTGTTGACGGTCGCTAACCAAAATTTTATTTATATAAAACTCCAAAAATACTAGTGATTTAGAATTTATCAAGCAAAATTATTTCAGGAGAAGCTAAGCACAATAAGCGTTTTCAAAGCTAGCAAAAATGCTAATGCTCTAAACAAAGAATTAAATAAGCTATTAGCACATTAGCAGAAGTGTGCTCAGTGCTGTTGGCAGCATACTTTAACTTCTCTACAGCTTTCACCTCCTAATGTAACTTTAGTTTATTAAAGTTAAAGCCTAAAATGTAGTTTATCGGGAAACCGACTGCAGCAATAGGAAAATAAATAAAAATTTTAGCACTTCATATGAGGCCTTTTCTTCAAAAAAATATAGAATTTAACAGTTCTTATTCAAAATATAAAAAATAATTAAACGTGAAACAAAACCGAATTTCTTTAAAGATCTGTTTTGTGCGCACAAACAAGATCATGTAGAATTCTGAAAAACGGCGACATGATGCAAAATGTGCGAGTCAGAAGAGCTCAGAGGATCTGGAAGCCTGAGTCGAGACAGACGTCGATCAGAGAGCTTTCATCGTATCCAGGTACTTCTGCTCCGTCCTCGATTTTTTGGAGGAATCCTGAGGGGTTTCAGTGCCGTCCAGTTCTTCAGCTTGTGCAGCGATGCCCTGGGGCGGGTCACTTCCTGGATCGGACCTCCTCTTCTTCCTTACATGATAGTGATGCTTTTTGGACTTCTGGTGAGCTGCAGGTACAAAGAAAAAAAAAAAAAAAGACCAAACTCAGAGATTTTTTCTGTCTTACTTTTTGCTACCTGTTATTAAAAAAAAAAAAAACACAACCTCCACAATTACAAAGATGGACAAATAAACGGAGGCGGCATGACATCCTCACCTGTCCACTCCACATCTCCGATTATGATTTTGTCACACGCGTCGCAGGTGTGGCGGCTGCGTTTGTTTCTCTGCTGATCCTGCAGTCTGATTGGGGGAAAAGCCGGCTCCTCACCCTGTCACCGGGGCAACAGAGAGCCAAATTATGATTTTCAGACAGGAAGCAAGGAGAGCTAAAGCCTTTCCATTATAAACCACAGGAAGAAAAAACCCTGTGAGGTAAATTATCAACAAGTCATATAAAAATAAGCGGAAGCAAGCTAACATTAGAATGCTAATTCTGCAAACTGATTTGAGATGCTTGTCTACTGACAATGTTTTAGGCTCAGCTAATGTTTTAGAAATAAACGATAAAGGCTTCAAAAAGTTGGATCTTTACATTTAAAGTTGCATATTTTTTGTCTATTTCCTTTCGTACTCGTACTTCGTTTCCGTCACGTCGTCAAAGGACAAAAAAAATATACATAAACATTACAATTGGTTGCTGTGTCTCTGTCAGTATCCCATAGTTTTACCTTGACTGTTTTATATTAAAATTAATGTATTTTTCGTGCCAGTGTGCAAAGAAAAGGATGAAATGTTTGTTGGGGTGTGGAAGGAAATCCTCATCATTTGCAATTGACCTCAACTAAATATCTGAGTTGCTTTGCTTTTTTAAACATCTATAGTCATATTCAATAAATTAAGTTTGAAAAATGAGTGTCACTTTTCAAACTTAAAGTACCTTTTCAAAATAACTTTAAAGCAGGTATTAAACATACTTTTCCTTCAAAACTGCATTTCTGTTTTCAAAAATAGTTTTTTTTTTATTGCTCTGACTTTAAATGTTATATTTTCATCTAACGTAAGTGTTACAACATAATAATTAGCAGAAATAAATGCTTTTCAACAACCATCTGCGTGAATTTAATCTATTGCACGTGTTTCACTGGGTGATGAAATTCCTAAAATAAATGGAAAACAATCTGGAACGGAAAGCAGAACGAGGGAGAAAAGTTCCAGGAAAACGAACAAAGTTGGAGGACAGAAAAGTTGCGAAATGTAGTAAAAAGAAGGAATAAAAGTAAAGAAAAGCACAAATAAAAGAACAAAGTGAGCAATAACTAACGAACGAGAGTCAGGAGGACTGTTGAACCCGGCTGACCCCCCGGCAGCCGGCCCCACCTTGCTGAGACTGTCCAGGATCTGCAGTGCAGGCTTCAGCACCGACTCCTCCCACCTGGACACGTCAGTCACATCCAGGCTGTACACAGCGGGGACGCTGTCGCCTGGTCCTACACACACACACACACACACACACACAATCACTAAACTTTTTAACATCACTTTTAGCTGATCATGTGAAACGATTTGCTCTCCCTCGTCGGGTTAACGACACCCCTGCTTTTAGAACTCATCTCGGTGTCGGCCTCTCCGTGGAGCGCGGGTGTGCCGATCGATTTCACACTCCAGGCGTCGTGAACTGAACCCGATAAATTCAATCCATCGGAGTCCGTGACCCGCTCCGCCTGATTCTGAGCGGATCAAACAGGCTCTGGCTGGTTTGACCAAAAGAAGGCGATGAGCAGAGGGATGGTGGGGGGGATGAGGGGGGAGTGACGCGCCGCAGCCGCACCCCGAAGCTCCGTCAACCTGCTGACTCACAGCGGCTCGATAATGTCTTCCTCTCCTTCCTCCTCCCATCATCCTCCTGCGCAGCATCCCTTCCCGTTGCCATCAGTCTCGTTTCGGCTTTCAGTCACTCCCTTGCTCTCTGACGGTTTCCTGCCCCCCCGCCTGTGTGTGCGCGTGTGTGTGTGTTCGTTTTGCACCAGTCAGCAGTGTCTGGGCCAGGCCTTTGCTTTAAAGCGTCCCTGCCCTCCACCGAGTCGTCAGGACGGGCTGATGCAACGACAGCATGCCGCCTGTTACAGACAAAAACTGACAGATTTTAGCCTCAAACGTTGATTGTGTCTCGTATTTAGCTCTGAACAGATGCCGTTTACTGGTTATTTAGGGGCATCAAAGTAAAGGGGTCCGAGTACAAATGATATGCTTTAAAAACCAAGAAGCATTTTTCCTCCACCTTTCTTAACGAGTGTGGGAAAAAATGTTGCAGTTTTTTTTTTTTTAGATGGAGGTTGTTTTTATATCCACACAGAAGATAAAGGAGTTTTTACACATTAAACAAAACAACAGATCAATAGTGAAGGCAGTGAAGCTCTGCTCGTCTGTTTGGGTTTGTTGCGTCGCTCAGATAAGTGGCAACCAGGGCCGCAATTTTGTACATCCGGCATTTGGCTTTTTCTTTTCTAAAATTATTGCTAGCTTACTTTTAATTTGTTAATTTAGTTTAATAGAGAAACTGAAACTTGTAACCCAGTGTGTCAGAAAACCTATTAGGCATTTAGACATAAAGCAGCAGGCAGATTGTGTTAGCTGATCCGACATTAGCGGCTCCTTTTAACAGAGAACGGTCCGTTACATTTCAGAATAAGAGCATCAACATAAATAATACCGTTTTAATAGATTAGATGTTTAAGGGATGTCTATAAAGTAGGGAGGGCTAAATGTCGATACCTGCCCTTTACGTTAAAAACAAACTCCTGAAATAATGTGAAATAGACATAGGTTGTGAAAAACAAATAATAAAGAAACAAAATAAAATTATCGTTAAAAAAAGCCAATATGAACCCTTAACTTCCCATTTTCTTGTTGGCCGTTTTCAAACAGTCTCTACAGATGAGTGATTTCTACCCGTCTCAGATTTCTGCTGCTGGAATTAGCCAACCAGCGTTGGCGCTGTGGAAACGCCCACTTCCAGTCTGAACATAAACGCTTCAATTTCATCACATCACAGCTAAAAACTTCTTTCTGTCAACAACACCAACAACAGGCAGTCGAGCTTTTTGAAACAGTGGGGTGTTGTTAAAATCACTTATCTGAAACGCATGTGGAAAGACTGAATTTAGTTTTGCTTGTTCAGATTTGGAGGCTTTCTGGCACTGAGACGTCATTAAACTCACCATTTAGACGAGATACTGGAGAGGAAAGGCGGCACTTTCTCCTGCTGGTTCCAAACCTTTAGCAGGTACTTCAAAATTTGCCTTCTTGTTATTTTCCCTCTGCAGTACCTGGGGTGTCTAAAGCCGAATCAATTGAAGACTTGAATGTGGATAGATTAGAGCCAATAGCGATTACCTTTTCATTTTAATCATGCCTATTTAGTCCGTTTCTGGCTTTCAGCTGCCAGTGAACCCCGTCTTGGTAGCCATTCCTCACTAATTTGTACAGCTTTTGTCCCACTGCTTTAAGCATAAATGAAATGAGTTGGCTCCATGTGGGTTTGCAAATCAGCACAACAATCGAAAAGCCAAACAGAACCATCAAGTTTCCGATTCGAGGCTGGATGCTAACTCACCCCCCCTTTTAAAAACGGCTCTTTTTATGTTTAAGTAACCAACCAGGAAGGCCTCAAGCTCAGCTTCAGCTGTCCAGAAGCTGTTTGTTGGACTACAAACCTTTAATGACACATCTTAAAACAATATTTGATTATATTGCCAGAGCATGAAAACAATTGAGATGTTGGAGGTTCACCTTCCAACAGCCCTGAACATGCAGCCATACAATATGAGAGGCTGTGTGGTGCAATGGCCCAGTTAAAGTCCAAATCTAAAACTGTGTTGCATTAGAAAAGGTTTATGGATATAGCAGAATTCAAAATAGCTTCCTCAGTTTCACAAAAAAGTTTTTACCCTCGCTCGATGTGGTTTCCCCCACCCCCAAAAAACGAGTTAAAGTGCTAAAGGGGAGATGGAAACACATTCGCCGAATAAGTTCTGACGTACCGAACGTTTACCTCTCTGATAGGCTGTTTGTGCTGTGATAATCATTAAAACAGCATTTTTTTTTCTCTATATCTCCAGATAGCATGTAGCATTGCCAATGCTAGTTGACATGACTGAACAACTTGCCAAACAGAGACATTCCTAAAGATTCTCTGTGTTTTCAGAGACGCTAGTTTCAGGGAGGCTAGTTTGCAACCTCAACTTCCAGTTTACCACAGCCATCCGTTACGTCAACATCTGATGAAATTGCGCTGACCTGGCTGATTTGCTCCACCCTTACAGATCGGACACATTGTCACCGATATTCAATCTAGATTTTATTTGAATATCGGGACTGGTACCGGTATTACCATAGGATCGGTGCATCTCTACTAAGAAATTGCCGTAGTGACCTGTTAAGATTGATGCCTAATTTCTTCAGTTTTTTTCCCCTAAATTGTGCACAAACTTCCCATTATTCAGAAGTCTGGAGACATGAGCGAAAGCTTTCACATTTAGTCAGATTGTCCTTCAGTGGGAGGTATTGTCCCAACACCGCGTGTCCTTGCAAGTCGGATCTTTCGAAGAACAGAACAGAGGAGTGTATTTATTTGTCTCCCGAGTTCAAATATGATCAGTCCTTCTGCAGACTGGCCGGCCCCACCTTTAAGCAGATTCTCATGCAAATGAATCCCATTAACCTTTAAAGTACTGTTTGCCAACTCAATTATGGCCTAATCCTTTTCACACAGACTCAAGTGTGAATTGGAGGGCAGCAGACAAGCATCCTGACTGACGCTTGCAGCTCTACTGGGAGCCAACTGGGCCTCTGTTATTACAGAGGAACACAAGACTGCCTGGTATGACCGACTGAACAGAAAAAACAAAACTGCCTCGGCTTCACAAGAACCGGAAACGTGTATCCAGGAACGGTTTTAGCATTTTAACCACCTCCAGTTTGAATTTGAATACGGCGGGTTTGATAAGCAGTCGAGCGTTTGAACATGCGGTATGGCTCGTTCTTTTTCAAGTCGGGGCAAGCTGTGCGCGTTTAACTAGCTGACGAAGGGCATAAAAGCAGAATAAACAGATTGTAAAATGGCAACATCTCTCTCTGCACCTGCCTCAATTTAGCTTCACAGCGTGAGCTGTTCTGTGTTTACTCACCCCTCACGCTCTGGCCTCCGTTTGAGTGTGTCGATTTTTTTAGTTTTGTTTTTTTAACCACATTTGGGGTTAATCAGAACCGCGCCGTTTACGGAAACCGCGTTTCCGTCTATGTGAGAGTCACTGAGGAAAAGGTTTGAGACTCTCCCTTCAACGCAAGAATCCGGGTACAGGCGGGATTTTAAAAAAAAATTATTTCAACAAAGCTTAACACAAGTTCTTAAATTTATAACATAATGGCAACAGTTTGCTGCTAAGACGCTGTAACAATTATGAACAGAGTAGCATACGGATTAGTATCGCTGTAATACAAACAAGCAGTTGCGTCTTAATAAATTCAGAATGTTACTTTAAAGTGATTTTACAAACCCAATTCAAAAAATAAAACTACTATGATCTAGATCACACTCTACAAGGACGGAAAGTTGTTCAAGTCCAAGTATATAAGTGGAAAGTTGAGTGGAAGGATGCACTGACGCGATAAGTTTCAATAGCCTCTTTACTTCAAATCCTTACCTGTTCAATACTTCATTAGAATTCATCGTCATTTGTCTGACTTTTGATATACAGACTTCAGCTAAAACTAAATCCACACCTGCTACATTCAGATATAGTTTTAATACTTATAACAGAATATTGTACCAATTTATCAAACAACTTCTCTTATTTTTCTATAAAAAGTTTTGGCGCTAGGATGAGGTGGATTTTCGGCCACATCAAAATCGGTTTATTTTGCAGAACTGCAATGGCGCAGTTGGTAGAGCTGTTGCCTTGCAGCAAGAAGGTTCTGGGTTCGATTCCCGGCCCTGGTCTTTCTGCATGGAGTTTGCATGTTCTCCCTGTGCATGCGTGGGTTTTCTCTGGGTACTCTGGCTTCCACCCACAGTCCAAAAATATGACTGTCAGGTTAATTGGCCTCTCTAAATTGCCCCTAGGTGTGTGTGTGCATTTGTCCTGTCTGTCTCTGTGTTGCCCTGCGACAGACTGGTGACCTGTCCAGGGTGACCCCGCCTCTCACCCGGAACGTTAGCTGGAGAAAGGCACCAGCAACCCTCCTGACCCCACTAAGGGACAAGGGTGTAAAGAAAAACGAGTCGCAAACGGATGTTGCTACCGGCACAAAACACAGAGAGACAAAATTTTGCACATTAACAGAGTGACGATGTTAGCTTGTTAATTAGCCATGTAACGTTGACTATGAAGAACTTTGTGATGTTTACATATTGAAAGGTAATGCTGAAACAAAGCTTTACTTTGTATTCAGATGGAGATGCCTCCATTTCATGACGGAAAGTTTTAGC